TTATGCCTAAGGACGATTAACTATGTATTTCGGATAGGATAATATTGAATATATTACACTCTGTTTCTAAATCAGTGGCATTAATACCCTTAGAATGAGTAGAGAGCCGCGTAGAAGGTTGGGTGAACTGTAAAATTTGAGTATCCCCAGTGACATGTTACTTTTGGTGAAGGCGCATGCGCAAGCTTAGTTCCATATTTCATGGCATGCAAAATGAAACTAAACTTTTCAACTGCCGGAATAAAACAGGAATTTTAAAACGCTAAAAAATCAAAGAGGATCTTTTGCTAAACTTTGTAGGAACGATGGTATTATGGCCTCAATGAGCTCTTTGCGCTGATGATGAAGAGATGATGAGAGATTAGGCTAGCAAAGAATGTCAAGCAAGCCCATTTGATGGAATAAGTTGGGAACATTTTTATTACGAACATTCTTGCATGATTGATTGAGGGTAGTATATATCGTTCGGGCATTCGTCTTGTTCATATCATGTTCATGCTATCATGAACTTAAAATATTTTCATTTCTTCCGTCCGAATAGTTTTTTATTTGGAATTTTTCGTTATGGATCCAACAGACGAAGAATTGCCTTCGATCAAGGTGATTAAAAACGAGGAAAGTCGCTCCATCATTTGGCACAAAACCCGCAACGCCTGGCAGTACGTCCACGACCACCATCGAGATGGTTTTGACTGGTATTTTAAAGTCGACGACGATGCGTACGTTCCTCCAATTCTCTTAACCCGATTAAGAGGACCGAGGAAGGACGGAGTGTGCATTACTCGATCAGGTACGTGGTGATGGAGAACCTGAGGTCCCTCTTGGCTTCCAAAAACAAGGAGGATCCCATTGCATTCGGACACAAGTACAAGCGCCCCAACGGCGCATATTTCGCTGGTGGATCAGGTAAGAGCTTAACGATGAGATCCGCGTTTGACACATACTGTCTTCCTTTAAGTTATATCATGCTCAGTTCGACTCTGCCGCTTAGATTCACTTAGAGAAACCCATTCGCAGAGATTGATGACAATTGGCATCATTATATTCTAAGACCGCTCAGGAGCCATATATGTATGCAAAGTGGATGTTTCGTATTGGTTGGAAGTCGCGTTTGGTTACGGGATAGAGGCTTTTTTCTTACAAAGTCAAGTTGGAATAGACGTCATCACGACTGCCGTGGTTGAAAGAGTGGTTCGAAAAGTTCCATCTTTTGACTTTTCTTTGTCGAACAGGTAGGCGGATTGATTACCCTTGCGAATATAGTAGTCGCTTGTTTTACGGCAAAACTTATATAGCACCAAGTTTCAGAGTAATTCAAGAGCAATGCTGCACTCAGTCTAGTCAAGAGAAATTGCTTCGTGAATTCCAAGAGAAAGAGAGTATTCTTTTGCTTTTAATTTGTTTATTCTCTAACTTAGAATACTCCGGGTTTTTATCTCTGAAGGCCAATGACTCCAATGTGAATCACATCGACAAACGCTGTCCAAAAACAGGGGGGAAAGCCTCCGATCGTCCCTGCACGACGTATGATATTCGACACGAGCTCATGACGCCAATTTCATCATTTCCATTCTTAAATTTCGAAATTCCTCCCTCAAAGGGGGAATAATGATCAATAATTTCATTAATACGCCTTCTGCTACGTGTTATATATACGACTGCAATCTGGAAGCCGTTTTTCTTATCTTATCTGTGAACTTGATCCTCAATCCGATCATGGGTCTAGGAAGCGACCCTTTGCCGTTTCCGAACGGAAAGGTTAAAGAGGAAGCCATAGGCTCTTTTAGTGGCCGATATACAGTAAAAGGAATCCAGAGAAGGTTTTCCTTTCTTCTTGCTCCTTTCTAAATCCTTAATGATGCCAAAGACAGCTTCATTGTTGATGAGAGCGTCGTCGCCTTCATCAACAATGCGAGTTGTTGTCTTTCTAAAAATTTTAGTTGCGAAATCACTGCTTGGTTTCAATTTGCATGAAATGACCTACGGGTGAAATGTCAGAATGATACTTTAAAGAGCCGTTGAATTTCAAACCCTGGACACTGCGATAGAATACCGACTTCATCGCTTTCACAATGGCAATGTGATGCCTGTGACTATGGTCTAGTTATAATCTAGATTATAAAGATAATGCTTAGGCCGACATCACCTCATCATCCGGGTAGTCGTAATTTCATGTTCTAAAGAGAGAAACAAAATAAATCTCAGAACTTATCTTGGTGAATCTAACTTACCGAAATGACCAAGTCAGGTTTGTCACTCGCTGACTAATATGGGGGGGGGGAAATAAAACATTTTGAGCTTTGGCATATTCATGATAATAAATTGCTCTTGATTGCCTATTTACCGGCAGGTTACGTGATGAGTCGTTCAGCCATGATCCGGTTCGTGACACTTGGGCTTCCTATGAAAAACACTAGCTGTCCGGCAACAAGTAGTGAAAATGAAGACTGGAGAATGGGTGAGTATTTTTCAAAACTATCCTTAATAAATAAATAAAAATTCACAAGAAAAAGTATGCCTTTAAACTATAAAGCCTTTGACTCTGTGAACAACAAAATACATTTTACCTTAATATCGATCTCAACTAAAAAGTGACAGCACCCTCCAAAATTATCGTGCATGACTTTTTCATTCTGGATTTCCCCTAAGCTCCCAGTTTCAAAGATGATTCTTATGCTACACTTTTAGAATACCCTAAAACTAAATGATGTAACAATAGGCATGTGTAAATTGCATATTAGTCCATGTCCATGATTAGTGGTCTATTGTGGTGTCTGTCCCCCATACTCCAGAGCTAAACGCCATCCCAAAATCAACTGTAAGCAACGTCTTGGTAAAGTTACGGCGAAACTAGGGAAGTTATTCTCCGTTCCGGACGACCAACGGAAATCATCTCGAGAGGCAGGACATAAAAAATTAATGAGAATAAAAAGTAGAAGAGCCATCCTATTATAAGAAACACAAGACATTTTGCAGCTTACTGCAATACAGGCCAGATGGTTGCTGAGACTCCCACTGACACCATTGTCATCATTTGGGAAGTGGTTCATGACTTTTGATATTAGAGTCTAGATGTGGGAGTTTATTTTCTTCAACCAGATTCAAGTTTCTTTTGCCTCATGTACAAATACAACCCGAATCGTAGTAAGCGAAGTAATTCAGAACCAGTCTTACCTTTTTCTTGAACGCCTTTTTATTGAGTTTTTTGTTTTCCTTTGCACGTATAAAAAAACTGCATGGTCCATCTAAATTTCTGATTTTTTATGAAGTGCTGTAAAATTTGAAAGGTGAATGCCTGGAGAGCGTGGGGGTGACCTTAGGCGACGACCGAGATTCGGAGGGCCGCTCTCGCTTCTTCCCATTGGGAGTGGAAGGTCACATCACCTACGCTGACGATCCAGGCGTTGCCCCGTGGTTCGAGAATTACACCTACTATCCCGCCAAGCCGGGATTTCAGTGCTGTTCCCCAACAGGCATCTCCACCCACTACATCACTGGCCTCGATANTTTCGTTCACTTTTCGTCCTCCATTCACGTGGCCAAGGTTACACTGTATCATTATGTGCTTGTGTCTCTAGCGTGCATTACTTGTGGAAGGGAGAGGAAGCGAGAATTGCCCTTGTTTGTCGGGGGGATTCTCCTCGCACTCTTCTTTCTTCGGCCTGATTGCTTGCCGAGGATACAAATTTCATGGCTAGTTGGAATCCATCGTTGACAGGTGCGGCATATCTGTTGCCAAACTTGCTTTCCTGCAGGTCGTCGCCGCAGCCGTCTCAAGTCCACCAGATCAAACGGGGGCCACACTTTCATACATATCCCATCTATTCAATATATTTTAATGATGTTGGAGTTAATTTGAATATTTTTTCCAGGTTGGGAGGATGTGAGGATCTTCTGCATGGCGCTGACGCAACCGGCCCAAAAGAAACCTCATGCCATTCCCCCGAAGAAGACCTGGGGAAGGAAATGCACCCAGCTCCTCTTCGTCAGGACCGAACGAGGTGTCATATTCTGGAAATTCACGAAATTCTCGTGCGAAAACTTACAATTGAAAGGCTGAAGGAAAAAGGAAAGAAATCTGGGGAGACTGCACAAGTCAGCTTTCACGAAACCTTACGAATTCGTTATTCTTTGCGATAACTTCCCTCAATTTCGAACTATTTAAATACATAACCAACACTTCCTGTTCGTTTTTGCTAATATGACGCATCTGGGCATGTCTTGTTATTTCTAACTTCCGATTACTCCTATATTTAACATCAGTAGGCGCAGTAGCGTCAATTACCTTTCTTCAACCTCATCCTCTAACAAAATTCAACCTCCCCGTATTCCTACCTAAGAGCCTCAAAAGAAAAGGAAATCGGCAGGTTTCTTCATCTCTCAACACAGAATCGCTCTAACAAATTTGAAGCTCCATTTGCCCAGGGTTGTGGAGAACAATGAATGAATTTATATTAAAACAAAATTTCGATGGCTTTCCCTTTCTTCACCCCCCTCACCTCCTCACCACCTCGACCTTCTCCACAGGACTCACTTACGTTAGGCCTAGGCCTAACTAACCGACTTCAAGTCACATTTAACATAACGCGTAACGTTTTTCTTTCAAAAGTAACTCAATTCTCGAATACAGGGCAAATTTGCCTTATTAATTAGGGTGAATCTGTGCTTTTGGAGACATCTTGCTGAGGACGTGTGACGTTCGACCAATCNCTATAGGAAAGTCTATAGGTTTCCTATAAGAAATAACTATAGGTTTCCTATAGGACATTTCCGTAAGGGATGATACGAATTATCCTCCTTTCAGGCATCTTCTTCCATATATCATGAAGCCAACTTGCAAAGAGCGAGCAAATCTTTCCCCCATCGTCTGAACCAGAGTTTTTGGAGATTCCTTGAACTGCGGTTCCAGGTAAGACCGATTTGTTGAAGAATTAAAATGTCTTCCTATATGGTGTCTGTGGGAAAAAAGATCGGGCACCTCATGGATAGTATTAGATATAATTCCAGCTCTATGAGGTACTAACTAGCTACAGCGGGTACCTTGGTGTCACCTAGCGTCAGAATTGTGTGAACCTTTGTTTCTAGCCACCGTAAGTTCGATAGCTCGTCATGCTCAAGAAAAGCGCCTCTTTAACATTCAACGAACGTCCATCAAGAAGGTTATGTATTGGCGATCAAACAGCGCCTTAATTGAGCGTCCAAAAACTGCTCATCCCGGAACTTTGAACGTCAAAGAAACTTTTTGAGCCGGGGTTGAGCGTCCTCCTGATCGTTCTTGTGCTACTTGGGTCTCCAATCTAACTGCTTATAAAGTTACTCCCCTGGTAGGTCGTGAAAGAATTCCACTTCTTCAAGCGGATAAGTGTAGCAACAGTGACCATTCAAGTCGGTCATTTCGAAGAAATCCTTGATCTTTGCTTCCCTAGCTATTACTTTTACCTACGTGAAGATCGATGGACGTGACACCATCAGGAAACATTCATTGAGGAGAGCACACTCATGATATACTTATTATGGTACCTTTTGAAATAATTAAATATTGCATGTATCCGATAAAGAGTTAGCAAACCTAAAGTACGCTCCTCTAGATAGTGAAGGAGGCAGACAACACAGAGGAGGCAGCAGAAACAACTTGTGACATCACACGGCGGAAGCCACCAGATTGCCAGCAGAACTAACGAAACTCCATGATGATATTTTTTATATTATTTAAATATTTATTTATAGTATTTTTCAAAATATTTATTTGAAAGTATGGAATTTTTTCCTATACTTCTTGAATCCACAAAAATAAATGAAGTATTCATTTTACATTTGGGCATAAAACGGTCATGGACTCATTTTCTTCGGAATCCCTGGTAAAGGATTCCTATGAATCGTAAGTAAAGGACCCCTGAATATAAAGTATTTATTGGCAACGTTTTTTGTCTCTACACAAATGCTGTTTCGCTGCAATGAACTTTTACCAATGTAACAATGGGATCTCGAATACACCTAAAACTGCCACTAAATTATTGAATGAGAAATCAAAAGTGATACTTTTAGGCAGGGGAAAGAGCGGTCAATAAGAACAACATGTTTCTTCAGAGAATATCAATATGATCGACTGAAGTAAAAGTGTCGATGACTTGGAAAGTCCTGTGATAACAACACATCTCCTCCATATGGAGAGGGGAAATGTGTCGAAGCTGATCACGGGGCTCCAAGTGTGAATGCTTCAGGGTCCTTATGAGATTTCGTTCACTTTTCGTCCTCCATTCACGTGGCCAAGGTTACACTGTATCATTATGTGCTTGTGTCTCTAGCGTGCATTACTTGTGGAAGGGAGAGGAAGCGAGAATTGCCCTTGTTTGTCGGGGGGGATTCTCCTCGCACTCTTCTTTCTTCGGCCTGATTGCTTCCCGAGGATACAAATTTCATGGCTAGTTGGAATCCATCGTTGACAGGTGCGGCATATCTGTTGCCAGACTTGCTTTCCTGCAGGTCGTCGCCGCAGCCGTCTCAAGTCCACCAGATCGAACGGGGGCCACACTTTCATACATATCCCATCTATTCATTATATTTTAATGATGTTGGAGTTCATTTGAATATTTTTTCCAGGTTGGGAGGATGTGAGGATCTTCTGCATGGCGCTGACGCAACCGGCCCAAAAGAAACCTCATGCCATTCCCCCGAAGAAGACCTCGGGAAGGAAATGCACCCACCTCCTCTTCGTCAACACCGAACGAGGTGTCATATTCTGGAAATTCACGAAATTCTCGTGCGAAAACTTAAAATTGAAAGGCTGAAGGAAAAAGGAAAGAAATCTGGGGAGACTGCACAAGTCAGCTTTCACGAAACCTTACGAATTCATTATTCTTTGCGATAACTTCCCTCAATTTCGAACTATTTCAATTCATAACCAACACTTCCTGTTCGTTTTTGCTAATATCACGCATCTGGGCATGTCTTGTTATTTCTAACTTCCGATTACTCATATATCTAACATCAGTAGGCGCAGTAGCGTCAATTACCTTTCTTCAACCTCATCCTTTAACAAAATCCAACCTCCCCGTATTCCTAACTAAGAGCCTCAAAAGAAAAGAAAATCGGCGGGTTTCTTCATCTCTCAACACAGAATCGCTCTAACAAATTTGAAGCTCCATTTGCCCAAGGTTGTGGAGAACAATGAATGACGTTATATTAAAACAAAATTTCGATGGCTTTCCCTTTCTTCACCCCCCTCACCTCCTCACCACCTCGACCTTCTCCACAGGACTCACTTACGTTAGGCCTAGGCCATACTAACCGACTTCAAGTCACATTTAACATAACGCGTAACGTTTTTCTTTCAAAAGTAACTCAATTCTCGAATACAGGGCAAATTTGCCTTATTAATTAGGGTGAATCTGTGCTTTTGGAGACATCTTGCTGAGGACGTGTGACGTTCGACCAATCTCAAGCCTATTCAAACTTTCACGAGTGCTGGCTCCGGTCTGTGCTCCAGTGTTGCCGGATACCTTGTCAAAGTCATGTCAGATTCATGACTGCTTCGATCTTCGTATCGGTGTCTGTATCTCCTGTTTCTTAATGTATGGGACATTTTTGCGGTGAGCCGAGAATAGAACGGTAATTAGGAGTGGAAAATCAATGTGATGAGATATGGAGATATCTTTTCCTCACATCCCTGATTGAACAGGATGGCGCCATGCCGCACCTGTGTCACCATGCATCTCATGCTTCCCAGAGGCATTCTCTTCGTAGACCTGATCGAGATGGTTCGAGGAACTCTAGATAGACCTAATGTTCCACGTCCGCACTGAAATGGTTCACGAAACTCGAAAGAGGTCTGGAATGGGTCTAACGTTGCAAGTCCTCTGAAATTGTTCGTGTAAGTATGAATGGGTCAGTGATTTGCCTAACGTTACACGTCCGACATATCTTGAAGACCATGGATTGATCATTGTAGGCCTAATTGGCCAGGTAAGTCAAGGATTGAGTTTCTTTTGATAAAAAAAACGTAGGCCTAGGCATGACCCGAAGACAGCCCGTCGGCTAGACCTAAGCCTACAGTTCGTGAGTCCCGTTAGAGAAGGGAATTGGAGGGGGTTGAGGTTAAGGTTGAGGTTGAGGGAAAGCCTTCGAAAAATGTGAATTACTTCATGTGAATATAACGTCCCAGGGTTCATTTGACCCGAGAACATTCAAAGTTGATTCTTGCTGGAACTTTACATTTTCTGTTCTTCCACAAAGTGGTTTCTTTACCATCACATTTTTCGTCATTGATCCAATAGACGATGAACTGCCTTCAATTGAGGTGATTGCAAACGAGGAGAGTCTGGGAATCCTCTGGGGAAAAAAACCGCAAGGCTTGGCAGGACGTCCACGATAATCATCGAGACGGCTTCGACTGGTATTTCAAAGTCGACGACGATGCGTGCGCTCCTTCAACTCTCTCTTAATCTAATCGGGTGATTAGGAGGATCGAGGAAAAAAGAAGTGTGCATTGTGCGCGTAGGTGGTGATGGAGAACCTGAGGTCCTTCCTGGCTTCCAAGAACAAAGAGGATGTCGTCTCATACGGATACAAATTCGAGAGGAAACGCACCAGCGCATATTTCTCTCGAGGATCAGGTAAGAACTTGACGGTCTGGCCCTCGTTCAACTCAGAGAGTCCACTATGAATTCTCTCCACACTTAGAGACTCTCCTGTTGACGTCACACAGCGAAAGCCATGAGCGTTATCTCTCGTGATTTTACACAATAAGTCCTGTCCTGTTATGCGCCACGAGACATTTGAGACTCCCTTCACCAAGCCATGTTCATGGCTTGGTGGAGGGAGTCTCAAATGTTTCTGAATGAAGTATGGACCTAAGCGGAAAAATGCGTCCTGGTCAAAATAGGACGCCGTTCGAACGCCGAATGCCTTCTGCATGAATATGTTCCCTATGCCCCATCTTATAAATTTTTAGTTGGTCTAGTGTGATGATTACGTCATTGAAATTGACAGGTTGTTTTCTGATTGGGTGAGAGACTAAATTGGGTGAGAGATCTCCCCTTCTGACTGACCTGGCTCAAAATCGTGTTCTGCATGAGGAAACGAACTTGAAAGATAGTGAAAGGACAGTTAGACCTGGGATCTCGCCTCAGATTGCATGCAGAAGTAAAGGGAAAGTGAAATCTATCTCCCACAAAGCGTGAAATCTATGGCTGCAAAAGAAATATGCCGCCTAGAAATGACATAATGCTGTTGCTAGCTTGCCTTTTTGGTGTACAATTAATGGGAGAAAACTTCATAATTCTTGAAACCATGTTCAACTCTTCTTAGACCTTGGTTTCCTCCATTGCCGAACTGCGCCTATCCAGAATTGGCTGTGGTGTGTGCATGAGCTAACTATTCCACATGCCATGTGACTGTTCCTGAAGCGCTTTAAATCATAGTTTTCTCTTATTTGGCGGTACAGCTGCCTTCTGACCGGCCGTGTCAAGGTGTTTCTTTTTAATGAGGCCGCAATTTCCGAATTTGTGGGAAAATTGCCCACAAATCTTACATCCATCTCACAATGTTTCAAGCTAAAGAATGCTGATTTGGTCCTGCTTTCTTGGACGTGTTATCTATTACCTAGAAAAACAAAAACAGGCTTGATTCTGGGATTAATTTCACGTTCCAAAGAGAGCCAACAGTGATTACATCTCTCCTCGATGGATGCAATCTTTTAATCTCCCGAAATGACCTGGCCAGGTTCCACTTGGCAGCAGTAGCCAGATCTGGCTCGCAGACTCGATATGGAAAATCCAACGAGATTCTGCACATTTACGAGAGGCATAAATTTCGTAATAATCGCCTGTTGATCGGCAGGTTATGCGATGAGCCGTCCGGCCATGATCCGGTTGGTGACGCAAGGGATTCCCATCGACAGCGACAGCTGTTCGGCAGGCGGTGGAAGTGAAGACTGGGAAATGGGTGAGCCTTTAAGTTAATGTCGCAAGAGATTCTCGCAAAGTTGTAGGTATCGGCAGGAAGGGATTTACTTCGTACTTTCATAGCTGCAGATTTTCCTTAAGATATAACGGCACCTGATGAAAGAAGCCCGCCGTTGCTTCTCGACTGTTGATTTTCTCAAAGCAGGGTTGCACAGATGCCTTTTACGAAGTAGGGTGGAGAGGCCGGTAGATGAATGATCGAATTGTATCAATTCGATAAATGGGGAGGCAGGTGCATTTCCGTGAATCAAAGGCATCAATAGCATGCTAAAATGCAAATATTGCCAGCTTCTTGCCGGAAGGGAAATCCCTCCTCGAGGAACTTGGCGTGAATCATAACTTGCAAAGAGGCGTAAATGGGCTTCAGATGCTTCTGTGAGCGAAGAGCGACTGAACATAGGAGCATCGTTGAAAATTTGGAGAAATGTTCTTTTCTTCACTATATTCGGGTTTGTCCGCTGTTCGTTATTCCTATCGCAACATTTGTGGACATGAAATCATACGGCGCCAGAAATAGCATTAGTCAGTACCGCCCTTACCCTTTCCATCCACATTACGTGTATTAATGAAATGATTTAAAAAGAATACAGTAAAATTTGGAAGGTAAATGCCTGGAAAACGTGGGGGTGACTAGGCGACGACCGAGACTCTGAGGGCCGCTCTTGCTTCTTCCCATTGGGAGTGGAAGGTCACCTCATCTTCGCTGACGAACCAGACGTTGCCCCGTGGTTCGACAATTACACCTACTATTCCGCCAAGCCCGGATTTCAGTGCTGTTCTTCGACCGGAATCTCTGCCCATTATGTCAATGGGCGCCAGATGTATATGCTGGAGTATCTCATCTACCATCTCCGGGTTTCCGGCGTGGATTACCCTTACTCCTCATCCATTACGTGAACGTATTGCATATCACTTCAATTTTACGTTTATTATCTCTGGAGAAACATTGGATTTCTCTCGGAAATAAAATGTCATACGAAACTGAAACATAAAAACACCTTCAAAGAATACCACGCCAAAAAGTGAAAGATGAAGTCCTGCATTTCAGTGCTTGAAATAAAAAAACCAAACAAGAAACAATGTCAATTTCCCAGCCAGGTCGACAAAAAGGCGTCCCTCTTGAGTTGTGTTCTTCAGGTGTGACCAGGTCATAGATTTCCTCGAAGCCAGAATGATCTCAATTTAAAAATCCTCTTTTCATCATGAGGAAATCTAGAAGAACTTTAGAACCGGAACCGGTTTATATATACATTATCAACCAAATTTGGCGCCTAGAGATCAATGCAGACGTCGCGAGGAACGAAGCAGTACCATTCATTCGTATCAGTCAAATTTTGGATGAATTTGGACATTTTGCTCCAAGAAGATGAAATGATCCAAAGGAATTTCGAAATTTCTGAATCCAAATGAAACAAGGATGCAGTCACCCTCGCGTCCATGATTATTCTCATGTCGTGGCAATTCGTTTCATGTCGTGGCACGTCATTTCACAAATCGGTGCCATCTCACAAGCGACACGGAATGGAAGGATGGAAACGTCCTTGAGGTCCTCGGGCGGCCTCCGGGGCCTCGAACTCAAAACTGCGGACTTGAAGAACAACAAATGGGGAGTTTCGAATGGATAACAAAATGGGAGTCTCGGAATTTTCTGCGCTCCTATCACATGAGGGAAGTCAAGACCAGATTTTTTAACAAATTTGTGCGGATCCGAGCCTCGCTTCGGCCAGGAATCGATCCCAGCCTCACTTCGGCCAGGAATCGATCCCAGCCTCACTTCGGCCACGAATCGATCCACCACTCCGCGGAGCCGTCGATGGCCTCCGTGGTGTTCGCGACTTCTTCCTTCTTTTTCTCCTTCTTCGGTTTCGCCTCCACCTCCTCCTTCTCGGGGGGGTCCTCCGTCTGATAGGAGGCAAGGAAGCCCTTCATGTTCACCGTGTCGTCCGAGTGGAAGCGAATCAGGAGGGCCTCGTTCACCGACATGATCTCTGGCGGAATCTATGGAATCACGACAAAAAAATATAAACATGAAAATGCAAAGGGGTGATAGTGACAAAGGATTGGTAGAAAGAGTCCAGCTCCTGAGTCGGTTGCTTGTCGACAGCGATTTTCGCATACTCTATGAGAATTACCCGGGAATTGCCCGCCTAGTGGAATGCTGTGCTAGTGTGCTAGTGTAGAGTGCTGTGAATTTTGGACGCGGCAGGACGTTGCCTAGCATGTAACTCAGCGTTTCATCTGCCTCTGTGGACTATTATAGGACCAACGGAGGGCGTCCATGACCTAAACGGACCCAAAGTCGACACGCGGAGCCTAAGCCGCGCAGAGACTTCATGTTTACAGCATGCAACCTAATTCCGTCGTCGCATGTTATCACAACGCATTCTGTCTTTTTCCTCAGTCTCTGCTGCCCGTTGTCCTGTTGTGAAGATGAAGTCATAGGCCGTAAAATAAATGCGCCTTCCCTTCCCATTACAGACGGCGATAAAGTATATCTATATACATTTATCAGACAACAGATTTATTAGCTAATTCCAGGAAGGAGTCCAAGGTCGACTTTTTATCGGGAGACCGCGAAGAATGGGTAACCATTTCAGCCTTGGTACTGATTCCAAATCTTCCAAATTCCAGGAATGCATCCTAATTAGTACAGATGAAGCAATCTGAAAAAGAGAATATTTTTCGTCTCCCTCTGCGATCGCATTACGCATCGAAATCCCGAAGTTGAATAATTGAGCTCTCTCGATAAAAATAAAGCCCTCTCAAGAAGGCATGACATGTACGTGACTACGCACACGCTACAACTAATTGACACCTAATCCACCTTTGCGGATGAAAGGAGGTCTTGTGGCCCCATCGACTCTCGTTAGCTGCTAGGGGAATGGTTATGAGGAAATGCGGATCCCGTCAACTTGGGAGTCGTGGAAACCACTTTCCATTTCTTTGCAACTGGAGGGATCAGGTCGGTTGTGTACTCGCTGGATCGGCAGGAAGTACGATCCAAGTGTTTTCACTGGTTTTCCTCCGAAACCGGTTCACCGATTCAACGGCTGTTTCCATAGTATTCAAGCGGAAAAATAATGAAAGTACGTAGTATTTAAATAAGTTCTATTTAAATGTAAACTTTTTGTCATCCTCCCCTTTTCGCGAATGCGAGGTCACGCTCGTTTTCGCGGAGTGTTACAAACATATGTACAAAAATGCAATCATAATGATGAACATAATTGAGGGCATAATAGAAAACAATTTCTGGAACACTGATGAACGAACCGCTAAATGCTTCAGCAACGAGAGAGTGAGTAAAAACTAACTGGCATGAAAAATCAAGAAGAGTATTTTTTTAAAAAAGCAGAAAAACATGGTCGCGACTAATGAGATCGTAATTAAGCCCGGACATGCGCCAGATTGAACCCATGCTCCACACGGGGTGCAATAAAACAGGGCTCTTCTCCTCACGAGATGCGATAAGAGGGAAAAACCCCACGTTTTATGGCGAGGACTCATCAACACAACTCATTAATTATTTCCATCCAGATTACCATCGAAGATGTCAGGAGAGGGAATATTTTCCCTGGATTTCTCGTCAGTCAATGTCAGTCAATATCTCGACCTCGGTCAATAAAACTGTCTGCTCCGCATAAAAAAAAAACGAGGACAAATACCCAGGCCTGTATTTTGAGCCTATCGATAGACGATGGAACGATCCACAAGTAAATAATTTCACGCATTATTTTGCCGAGAGAGTTGTAATTCCTATCGTCTTCATACTATGATATTACCATGCAGAAGAGAACGCACGGCATAAACCCTTCTTTCTCTCCCCAGGGAGACACTAGTGAGTGGAAAGGGGCAAGTACTCCTATGACTTCTGGGCCTGTTCGCTCTTTCTTCTGTACTTCCCTCTATGGTCCATTCTCACTCATGAAGGCATCATGCCGGTTGCCATTTATTCCCTAATGTCGTCCATCTCCAGATATTGCAACTTGAGATTCCCCTGCATAACCTACGGTGTTAATCCTGCTCTCTGGGACGTTGATCCTGCTGTTGTGTGACTATGCCCCTTAAAGCAATTTCTGTGCATGCCTTGGATCGTCATGGTAATTGGTTAGCTGATCGGGTGACTGGAGATTTACCAGTTTCTCGATATTCTTCACGTAACCGAAGGGAAATTTAGTTCAAACGGTATTTAAAACACGTCTATACATATTTAATCGTCACGGCGCACGCACCAGCGGCAAGACCGAGTCCCACAGGAAGTGAGTATCGAGCAACATCAGTAAAGGCTAGTGGGAGCCACCCGGAACGCGGACTGACCTTGGAACCGCAGTGCTTCCCGTAGGACGCGCTGGAGTCGTCGTACCCGGCGAAGACCTCCACGTAGTCGTACTCGCAGCCGGGCTCTTCCTCCAGTTCGAAGCCGGAGAAGGTGAGGCGGATGTTGGTGCCGGGGGGAGCCTCGATCGTCCAGTCGCAGTCTTGGGCGTTCGGGTAGTTCTGGTCCCCGAATTTGGCGTGGGAGGAGATGGATTGGAGGGTCTCGTTTGCTTCCAGGTGGCCGCCGCAGACTGCAGGAGAGAAGAGCCATGAATGAAGAGAAAAAACTAGAAATGGAACCGTGTGACCGTTCATGCGTTCGACAGAACCAGGAGACATCGTCTTCAAAATTTTTCCCCCAAATATACAGACGAGAAAAATGTTAACGGGCTTCCGATGGGCAAATCCAAAGCCTACCCCGCACGTGTGCCATCCAAACTACTAAGTGAGCTGTTCCCCAAGCCCAACTGAGTGAACTGCTTGGGATGGTGCGGAGCAGCATAGTCGGCTCGTTTCTGACACGCTTCAAGGAGGTCCCATTCTCAAACGATGCAAAAGGAATACGACCGAACATTTTATCAGCTCGGCTCGCCAGAAAAGGGAATCGCCCCCTATTCCCCATTGCCCTTAGGGAGCTCAAAGAATCATTTTGAACCTCACAGTGTGAACTAAAACAAAAAATGCCGATGAACCAAGCACGAAATTTTTAAAGAAAAAGAATTGCCTGAAAAAAGAGCACCGAACGGAAGGAGGGCCGGACCGGATGATTCCGGAAGACCGGACCGGATGATTCCGGAAGGCCCAACCGACTCGGAATCCACTTTCGCCTGGATGGGGCGCTTTGCAGGTTTAAGTGAGAGAAGCAAAACACTTCCAATCTTAAAATGACACACATATCGTACCAGTCAGGGAATTTTTTTGCTGGTATCACCGCTAAATAAAGCCACAACAAAAAAGTTGCCATATTAGTTGCCATTAACGTCTTGGGAACGAATAGCCGAGGGGGACATCACCTCGCCCAATTACCCCGACTCCTACCCGAGCCGCAAGGACTGCGTCTGGCTTTTCACGACCACGCCGGGGCATCGCATCAAATTGGTTTGCGGCTTTTCGAGTCTCGGGCGATTTTTAGTTGAAATAAGAATTTTTTCAGTTCTTTTTTTTAATTCTTGTTTTCTATTTCATTGTCGCAAAAGTTCTCAATTTACTCATGAGTGACTGTATTCCTCTAATATTTTATTTCGCTTAACCAAAGCACCCGATTCCACCCGTCGTTCTCCCAACTGTCAACATAACGAAAACGATATATTAAAAAAAAATAAGGTAAAAAACATTTATATAAAAAACGAGTGGAATCGCACCCCAGGTGTTCGTGGAGTTCGAAGTGGAGCCGCACCAGAATTGCGCCTACGACCACATCGAAGTGTACGACGGCCCCAACTCCCACTCCTTGACGAAGGGTCGCTTCTGCGGGTCCAAGCTCCCCCATCCCATCGTCGCCTCGTCCAATCAGATGTTCATGACCTTCAAGAGCGACTCGTCCGTCCAGAGGCGGGGGTTTAAGGCTCGGCATACCACAGGTCAGTCTACAATTATTATTATTATTTTTTAATTAATATGTTATTATTTATTATTATTATTTTTTATTTTTCAAGTCTTCCTCCATTAGACGTTGCCCCGTGGTTCGACAATTACACCTACTATCCCGCCAAGCCCGGATTTCAGTGCTGTTCTTCGACCGGAATCTCTGCCCATTATGTCAATGGGCGCCAGATGTATATGCTGGAGTATCTC